CATAAACTCAATATTGTTGTTTTGCCTCAAGATGTAAAGGCTTCCTCCCAAATATTCTGAGATTGATATGATGAAAGAAAAGCATGTCCCTCTCTAACATACCCCTATCTGAGACAATATCTCATTCCAAATGTGTTCTTGCTGTGAAAATGCTTTCCGAAAATAAAACCCAGTGGATCCTAGTAAAGAGAATCTGTTTCAGATATGGTAAAGCTCAGTTAATCACAAAAGATACTGATAAGGCCTCCTGAAGGTCACACCAACAGCCAGCAGAAGTCAAGTACATGGGTCCGTGGCAATAATGAAGACAAATACCAAGTTTGTCATTATATCTATTTCTTCTCTACACATAGCAAGAGTGTTTTCCAAAGGATACTGATTCAATCTTAACTTGAAAATCATTTGGGAGCTACGAAAGTTGAAAAACTTACCTTTCTTTTCTAACATAAAAATAAGCAGGAAGGAAAGGGTAAAGACTGCGTTAACTCTGAAAATATAATATTACAAGTGTTTTGGGTTGGACCTGCCTCAAACAGTCCAATTTATCTCAGCAAAAACACATTTGTTACTTTACAGCAAAAAATAGTTAAACATTCCAAAGTGCACATGCTTATTTTGTTGGGAAAATTATACACATTTGTTTGATTAGCTTTGGTAAATATAATAACCAAGTCATCATTCAAGACTCAGACGTGGCTGCAAAATTGATTCAATGAAATGTCAAAATAAATCACAGCTTAAAAATGCATGGTATGTAACTTTTAAAAATGAAAACCACATCTATCTCTGTCAGAGTTGTGAAGACTGTGCATTAAAATTATATCAAAAACGAATGCAGTTTTGAAGGAAAAAATATTGATTTAATCGACTCTTCCTGACTAGTGATTCAAATCATGATTTGAATCAATGTGATTTTAATCGAGCCCACCCTATCCAAAAGTCATTTATACATACCTCAGAGTGCAAGATGTTATTTTCAGCAGCCTATTTGTCTTCCTAGTTAGAGGATGCTGAGCCTGATATGAAAAGAGTTATGTTGCCTATGTCACATCATCAGGGCAGGGAGCAGAGGCTTCTACAAACTTACCTAGTTGCAGATAATCCCTGTCAGGCCAACCATACACCAACTACAAGTAATAAGAGACTGACAAGCAGTCTCGAGGATGCCAGGACCTGAAATCAGGCAGAGTCCTGGGTCAGTCAGTGGACTGCAGATGGTCCCAGCAACAGGGAAAAGGAATGCTTCCTGACCTACAGATAACATACAACAAGCAGGCACTTGGCCTCAGACAGGGTCAAGGCAGCCTCAGGATCCATAATGCAGACAGAAAGGCCAAATCTCCACAAACAGTTCAAGTGTGACTCTTTTGTCTCTTGCAGAATTCTGAGATGCAGCAGGTCAGGAACAAGGCTGCCCTCAATCATCAGAGGCTATAATAGTCAGCAGGTCTCAAGTCACAGATGGAGCTGAAAGCCAGAGATCAGGACAAGGCAGAGGCTTAAAGGAGACCAGTTTCCAGAACCAAAGGACTAGGAGGCTGACCTGAAGCTGAGAACATGAATTAGGTATTCAGGGCAATCATGCAAGGGTTGATCAGATGAACTAACTAACCTCTGCCTCTGCTGCCTGAAGGGTATTATCTACCTGGTAAAAAATTTTAAGTGTGTGGCATAAGTCTTGGCATATGGAAAGTGCTCAGTGTTAGTTGCTGATAATATTGATGATAATAAAAAGGAAGAAATAATAATAAAAGAGAAATCTACTACAAATAATAATAATAATAATGTAGCCTGCTAGGGTATCCAGTGGTCCAGTTTGCCCAGGATTGGAGGGCTTCCCAGGATATGGGGATATGCTATCACTAGAAAGAGCCAGGCAAACTGGAATGGTTGACAACTCTGTCCCTGCCATGTACCTAGCCTGATCGACAGGGCATGGCTTGGGTCAGAACCTGCAGATGGCCTTAAGTGCCTTTAGCTGTGGGGATCAGAGGAGGGTGGAAGCAGGGAGCCAAGCACCACACCTTCTTGGAGGTAAAACTGAGTTTTTGTTGTATGAGGATCATGGTCTGGCTTTTCCCTTCAAGGCACCTGGTGAAAAGAATGTAGTGCATTGATAATCATTAACGAGCTGTCTGGTCTAATCATTTCCTCCCATTAGTTCCAGTTAATAAGAAAATAGAACAAGAAGGGAGGAGAAGGAGAGTGAGGAAGCTAGTTCTGGCTGTGACTGGGTTTACTGAGTTTCAGCTGATCTCAAAGGTCTCATACCCAGTCTTAACCTCCACCCTATGATCCACTGAGTGAGTCTGGCACAAGGCAAGCACTCAATCTATATACACAGTATCCGAAGAAGTTGAGCAGTGGGTTTGGGATTAGATCTGCTGCCTCTCTGGACGTGTCTTTGGAAAGGTGTAGACGCCTGGCTAGGAATTACCGTAATGAAGCCATGGTTCAGTGGGCAGGGACTACTGCCCTGTACTAAGCAGCCCGAGGTCCAAGTCCTTCCATACGTATGATCTGAGGACAGGGCTGTTACACAACCTTGTATTCTTCTCCTGCTCATGCTGCTGTGGAGTCTCAAAAACTGAAAGCAAGCCAGAGAAGTCCTGGTGAAAGGCTGGGTGCTTAAGGAGCTGCCGGGGATCCCACCATTTCCTCAGGGACTTAGGGTGGATTTAGGAACATGATATCTAGAGGTTGTTTGTATATAGCCCAGTAGAGGGGAAAGAACACTGGATTCAAAGTCAGAACCTGGATGTTTATCTCAGCTCAGCCATTCCACAAATGCAGCCTCAGCTAACACACACTGAACAAGCATTGGGACCGGCCACTGTGTGGGATACTTCCTCCAATTTTATCCTTTTATCCTCAACATGACGCATTATTATCCCCCATTTTATTGATAAGGAAACAGTCTCAAAGAGGTGGAAAGGTAAAAGAGGTAAGCGGTCAAGATAACACACTACATAGATAGTTCAGTGTGTTGGCTGCAGCTCAAAGAAGCAATGCTGGAATATTGAAGACATGGGTCAGGACAGGGACTGGGAATATGTGCTGAACTAATGATGGCTGATTCAAGAAACAAAGAATCTTGGGGCCAGAGGAAGAGCCTTCTTTGGACCAGGCATCCAGCACAGCATGTAAAGCACTACAATTGATGTGTCTAACTCCAGATGTTTATAAAGGACTTCAGTGCCCTGAGCTGATGGCTCAGCTTTCCTGGGCCATGGGGTGGGGCTATATTCTTGGAAACATTCCTAAGGGGAAGCATGGATGCAAACATCTCAAACAAGGCTGGAATAATGGCTCTCTCTGCTCCTTGGTAGCTGAGCAGCCTAATGCAAGTCATTTAACCTCCCTGAACCTCAGTCTCTTCATCTAACGTGGCTCACCCATAGCTGGTGTGAGGATGAAATGTAATGTGTGTGGTCAGGTGCAGTGGCTTCATTACTATAATCAACAATTTGGGAGGCCAAGACAGGTAGACTGCCTGAGGTCAGGAGTTCAAGACCAGCCTGGCCAACAAGATGAAACCCCATCTCTACTAAAAATACAAAACTTAGCCAGGCATGGTAGCATGCACCTGTAATCCCAGCTACTCAGGAGGTTGAGGTAGGAGAATTGCTTGAACCTGGGAGGCAGAGGCTGCAGTGAGTGCTGAGATTGTGCCATTGCATTCCAGCCAGGAAGACAGAGCAAGACTCCGTCTCAAAAAAGAAAAAAAAAAAAAAAAAAAAAAGGAATATGTGTACGTGTGTGATACACTTTGCACTGCATAGGATACGCTGTAGTACTCCATTTAGGGGAACATCATTCAAGCACATTTGCTAAGCTGCCAGGTAAGCCAAACAAAAGCTATTTGACTCCATTAGTGGCATTTAACCATAACAGACTACTTTGTCTAACTAGAAATCTGACTCAAAGTCTCCATGCCCCACTCCCTCAGCTTCCAGTCCTTCAGAAAGGTGGGCTGGGATCTCCTTGGCATATTTACTACCAGGGACTTTGGGACACCCCAGGGCTATCAGAACAATGAGAAGGGCCCCCAGAGAGAGAGAAGAATTGGTGCTAAAGCATGACCTTCAAGGCCTCAAAAAGATGCTCCCAAGAATGGCTACAGAAGAGTTCAACTCCAAGTCAAGGACAACAAGGGAAGGTTAATCACAGGAAGGCACAGGGCCATGGGGCAGGAGGCACATGGGGTAGGCAGGGAAGTCAGCATCTGCTACACCCAGGCCTGGGCACTGATGTGCTTCATGCCATGGCACCTGGGAAAACTCAGTCCAGACTGACTTTTACCACCTCTATCACCTGGTCCCCTTCCTGTGTATTTCCCTCCACCCTCGGGGGCTCATGAGAAGTCTCTTCATTTCCTTTTGGTGCACTGCTGGGACCCCTCAGCTCCTCTATGCTTTCTTGAACCGATGTTCAGTTCTTTTGTAACACGTGCTCTGCCACCATCGCCTCCTGTATGAGTCCATTTTCAAACTGCTATGAAGAAATACCAGACACTGGGTAATATAAAGGAAAAGGTTTAATGGACTCACAGTTCCACATGGCTGGGGAGGCCTCACTCAATCACAGCAGAAGATGAAGGAGGAGCAAAGACACGACTTACATGGAGGCAGGCAAGAGAGCATGTGCAGGAAAAGCACCCTTTATCATACCATCAGATTTCACAAGACTTATTCACTGTCATAAGAACAGCATGGGAAAACCTGCCCCATGATTCAATTACCTCCCACGGGGTCCCTCCCATACTTGAATAGTATGGGAGCTACAATTCAAGATGAGATTTGGGTGGGGACAAAACCAAACCATATCATTTCCCCACCCTGGCCATCAGGTCTTTCCCACATCCTAGGATCTCTGGACTTGAGCCACACACTACTCTGGACTAAACCTTGGTTGTCAGGCACATAGAGCTGCTAGAACTTCAACTTGCTGCTACCCTCTATGAAGTCACTGCCTTTAATTATACAAGTCAGCACAGGCCCCCAGCCTTGGGATCACCCTGCTGAGCAGATCCCTGCAGTGCCTGGTCTCAGCCATGCTCCTGATCACAATGCTGTATAGCTTATAGCTCCCTGGGCCCCTGACCTTTTCCTTTTTCTCCCCCTCCAGGCATTTCTACTGCAGAAGAATGTGACCTTGAGCAAGTAACTTCATCCTTATGGATCTCAGTTTTCACAACCATAAAGATAGAAGTCATATGAATGGTATGAGCAGTTTTTCAACCTTTTAGTGTGGGGGAAAAAAACATAAAAGAGTGTACTTTTACATACATTAACTAAGAAAATGCATGAAGATAGAGGCCCTGTGAACTTAGTAATATCTTCAAATAAATGTATATTTTATTTATTACAACCCCATCATTTGAAAAGTAGTACACATATAAGTGAGATTTATTACTTAGTCCTCCTATATCTGAGCAATGATTGGTGCACTATGGACTCCTGGACCCAGGGTAATAATTCCACCACTCCCCCATTGTTTCACAGCCTGCAGGTTGGTGAACAGGAGATCAGACAACCTCCAATTATGATGACCTTTCAAGGTCATCAATTCAACAAAGATTTACCAAGCACCTGCTAGGATGGATACATTCTAATTAGGGAGACAGATAAAATCCAAGAGAACAAATTTTAAAGTAACCAATTATTGTAACTGTTACAAACCCAAGACCAGTCTAAAAAATCAGGCAGCATGGGGAATGTGGCCTTTTAGACAGAACAGTAGAAGGCTTCTCTCGGGTAGTACTATTTGACTGTATGACCCAGAAGATAACAAGGCATCAGCCATAAGAAAGGCATGGGTGGGGAGAAGGCAAAAAGCATTCCAGGCAGAAGACACAACTTCACACAGGCTCTGAGAAGTGTGCCAGTGTGGGCCGTTGAAGGATCTTTATGGCTGAGAATGAACACATAGAGGGGCAAATTATGAAGGGAAAAATAGCAATTCTGTCTGGAAGTATTAAGTTTAGGAGTATGCATGACATCTAAGTGGGAATGTTGACACAGCTGAATATAAGTGGAGGCTAAAATTCACAGATAACTGTGCTAAAAATATATATTTAGGAGTCAACAGAGAGAAGATATTCCAAATTCTGAAAAGTAGGGGTATCTATTGAGGTGAGGGCAGATGAGAGGAGGGGAAGGGAGGGAAGTGGAGGGGAGAGGAGGAGGGGAGGGGAGGGAAGACCTGTAGACCAAGTCCTTAGAAACACCACCACTGAGTTGGGGAGAGAAGAAAAGGGACTGGGAGAAGCCAGAGAAGAAAGAAGAAAACCAGGAAAGAGGGAAACAGGACCTGGTGAAGCCATAAAATCCAAAACAGAAAAGAACTCAAAGAGGAGGGAGCAGCCAACTGTGTGGAATGCTACTGAAAAAAGGAGAAGGTCAGATTCAGACAAAAACACAGCCATCGGATTTGACAATACAGATGATGCTATAATCAGAATGTTTGTGTCCCCCCCAAATCCATATTTTGAAACCTAAACCCCAATGCGATGGCATTTGAATGTATAGCTTCTGGGAGGTAATAAGGTCATGATGGTGGATCCCTTATGGATGGATTAGTGCCTGTATAAAAGAGACTCCAGAGAGCTCCCTTTTCTGTAATGTGAGGACACAGCAGAAAGATAGCAGTCTGTGAACCAGAGTGTGGACCTCCAACCAGATACAGAATCCACTGCCGCTTTGATCTAGGACTTCCCAGGCTCTAGAACTGTGAGAAATAAAGTTGTTGCTGTTAAGCCACCCAGTTTATGGTGTTCTGTTACAGCAGCCCACACAGACTCAGAGAAAAAGGAGGGCCATAGGTGTAATGATTGCGGCAGAAGCCATTGGAGTGGGATGAAGAGAGACTGAAAGGTAAGGAACATAATGGGACATAATGTGTTGGCAACCCCTTCTAGAAGTCTCGCTGACAAAAGAAAGAATTAAAAAATGGGCAGAAGATGGAAGAACAGGGTTGAGTATTATTCAGCAAGTACTCTGTCTCCCTCAGTCTCCATGGGAGGTGTGTATGTCCCATCTCACTGATGTTAAGTTTGGCCAGTGGGATGAGCAGATATGCCCTGAGCAGGGGTTTGAAATGTGCTTGCTCCACTGGGCTTGGCATCTCATGGTCCTTCCTTTCTTTGTGATAACATGTCTTGGGTGGCCTCTGGATGAAGGAAAATGAGTGATGTATGGCACAGGTTTGGGACACAACCCACAACTTGTAGCCCAGCTTAGATCTGTGGAACTCTAGCCAACTCACAAACCTGTAAGCAAAAATATATGCTAGTTGTGTGCCACTAAGATGCTGGGGATACTGGTTGTGTAGCATTATTGTGGATATAGCTTACTAATACAAGGGAAATATGCAGTCAGGTGGGGTTATGTTTAGGATGGGTGATGCTACAGTATGTGTGTACACTAGTGGGAATGACATACTGAGAAGAGGATTTTGATGGCCAAAAGGGATGAGATAGCTTTGGCAGGGCAATGCCCATGAGAAGAGCAAGAGGGTATAAGATCCTGAGGATGAGGGGAGGGGCTGGCTTTAGATAAAAGGAGGGTTGCATCCTCCACTGTAACAAGACGAGAAATAGCAGATGCAGATACAAGAAGGTTTAAAGGTTTGGTAAGGAAAAATGAGCAGCTTAGATTGGATGACTAATTTCTCAGTGAATGATGAAGCCAGACCATCACTGGAGAATGTCTTTAGCTTGGGAAGGAGGTATCTCGTTGCCTGCTGTTTGCTTTTGCTTAAATGCCTTTCCAATTTTTTTCTGCAGATCTAAAGACTAAGCCCTTCCTTCTCTTTGAAACGCTAGCCTACCATGACCCTTCTTCTTCCTATAGCATCTGCAATCTCAACCCGAGCGGGATCTGATTAGCAAGTCTCATCGGATCATGTTTGTTTTCTTCTTTTGAGTCCCACAATACTGATGACATAGTGATGGTCATGCTGAGGAGACTTAATAATTACTTGTTAACTGGCTCAAAAAGAAAGGTATATGATTGTCACCATTTCCTCTTATAGACTAGCTGAGTTGGGTCGAAGCAAATCAGGCAATACCAGCTGTTAAGGGGTTAGACAGCAGAACTATTGTTTCTGGAGACAGACACATTTTCTGGTTTGGGTTTATTTTTTTCTCACTTCTTATGCCAACTGAAGCTTGGTCCATTTTCTTTACTTCACTTCTTCAAGAATTTTTTCATCAATCCTGCCTTGGAGATACTGACATCTTCCCTAAGAAAGCAGAGGGTTATTTTTTAGATGTTCTTTAATGCCATTGCTTAGAGGGCTTTCTGTTTTATTTTTAATGAAACAAAAAGTGCCAGATCTGACAGGTAACGCTAGGGAGCCCATATTTCGTGCAAGGGATCCCAGAAATACCAAGTAGCTGTCGTGCTCGCTTCAAAGCTACTATGCAGACCTTGTTTATGCCTGAAAAACAGCAGAGGGAACTTGTTCTCAAAGGCCTCCCCAGCCTCAGTCAGACTGGCTGAATGGACGTTAGAGTCTCAGTCTGACAGTTTCGAAAGGTTCTGTGTGCCACCTTCAACACTTATTGAAGTTACATGCAGAGGAAACAGAACTGGTCCAGAGAACTCTGTTGCCTGGCAACTGGACCACCATGGGCAAACTGGTAAGGCAGGGGTGGGTATCCACTCCTCCATCTCCTCAAGGGCTCTGATTCACCCTCCCAAGTTCCCATGATTTCCAGACACCAAAATTATCAGGCTAACCCACCCCTCCTCCACTGATAGAGCAAAGTGTCCCTCAAGAAGTTTCCCAGTTCACAGCCAGCCTGGGCAAGGGCTGCCTCTTCTGAGGGCCCCAGACCACCCTACTCTCACCTCTAGCCAAGCACTGATGATGATACTAGGTACTTCCCTCACTGCACTCGGAGCTCCCTGGGACTGGGGCTGTATTGAATTCACCTGTATTTCCTTCATTGGCCAGGCACACGTGGATGGCCAATGAATGGCTTGTTAGACTCTAACAGCACAGGGAGACAGCACATCCGACCCACCTGGAGAAAGCTCCAGCTCTGTTTGCAACTGCCTAAGCAGTCCCTTCAATTTTTTTTTTTTTTTTTTTGACACTGAGTTTTGGTCTCGTTGCCCAGGCTGGAGTACAATGGCATGGTCTCCACTCACTGCAACCTCCGCCTCCTGTGTTCAAGTTATTCTCCTGCTTCAGCTTCCTGAGAAGCTGGGATTACAAGTGCCCACCACCACATCCAGCTAATTTTTGTATTTTTAGTAGAGACAGGGTATCTCCATGTTGGTCTCTAACTCCTGACCGCAGATGATCTGCCCATCTCGGCCCCCCAAAGTGCTGGGATTACAGGTGTGAGACACCACACTCAGCTGGCAGTCCCTTCATCTTTAAGGGACTTTTTCCTCATCTGTGAAGAGAACACTAAAAATATCTACTTCCTGGCACTGGGAAAAGAGAAGTAAGTAATGCATGTTTTATAAACTGGTCAGTGTTTCACAAAGTCAGTATTAATTCACATTTAAGTTTTAGAGACTGTATTACCTCCCTCAAAAATATTTTTACTTTTAAACAGACCCTCTGATGTGTCCTTCTCCTCTTTTTTGAAGGGCAGTGCCTTCCTCTTTCAGCAGTGAAGGTATTTCAGGCATGAGTGAAAGACACTGGGTTTGCTTTGACTGGGGTAGGTAATCAGAACCCTTAATGACGGAATATGGACCAGAAGTCAGCAAACTATGGCCTGATGCCTAAATCCTACCCACCAGCCATTTCTGTAGGACAGGTAAGTTAGAAGGGCTTTTGTATTTTTAAATGGTTGAAAAAAAATCAAAAGAATATTTTGTGATACATAAAAATTATATAAAATTCAAATTACAGTGTCTATAAATAAAGTTTTATTGGAATACAGCCATGCTCATTTGTTTAAGCATCATCTGTGGATGCTTTTGTGCCACACCAGGAGAGCTGAGTGTTTGTGACAGAGACCATATGGGCTGTAAAGCTAAAAAATATTTACTAATTCATTTTTTAACAGAAAAGTTTGCCAACTCCTGATAGAGACCATCTCTGTACTTGACCCAAGGCCACTCTTGTCAAAGGATTAGAATTAGTTAAGATTTTATTCTGGGAATTTCACTTTAGTCCATCCAGGCTGCTGTAAAATACTATAAACTAGGTAGCTGACAAATAACAAATTTATTTCTCACAGTTCTGGAACCTCTAGAGGAGACACCATACCCCCTCTGGAACCTGGGAAGTCCTAGATCAAAGCACCAGCAGATTTGGCGTGTGGTGAGGGTCCACTCTCTGGTTCATAGACAGCCATCTTCTCACTGGTGCCTCACAGGGTGGAAGGGATAAAGGAACCCTCTGGGGTCTTGTGATGGTTAATACTGAGTGTCGATTGGATTGAAGGATGCAAAGTATTGTTCCTAGGTGTGTCTGTGAGGGCATTGCCAAGGAGATTAACATTTGAGTCAGTGGACTGGGAGAGGCAGACCCACTCTCAATGTGGGTGGGCACCATCCAGTCAGCTGCCAGTGCAGCTATAGAATAAAGCAGGCAGAAGAAGGTGGAAGGAGCTGACTTGCTGAGTCTTCCAGCCTTCATATTTCTGCTGTGCTGGCTTCCTGCCCTCAAACATGAAGAACTGTCCTAAGTTCTTCAGCTCTTGGACTTACACCAGCGGTTTGCTTGTAGCTCTCAGGCCTTCAGCCATCGACAAGGCTGCATTGTTGGCTTCTCTACTTTTGATGTTTTGAGACTCGGACTGGCTTCCTTGCTCCTCTGCTTGCAGATGGCCTATTGTGGAACCTCACTTTGTTATCATGTGAGTTAATTTTCCTTAATAAATTCCCCTTCATATATACATATGTCCTATTAGTTCTGTCCCTTTAAAGAACACTGACTTATATGGATCTCTTTTATAAAGGTGCTAATCTATTCATGAGGGTTCCATCCTCATGACTCATCACCTACCAGAGGCCCTGACTCCTAAATTATCACAATTGGGGTTAATTTAAGTATAATAATTTTGTGGAGACACAAACATTCAATCTACAGCAGAGATAAAGAGACAAAACAGATGATATTCAGGAGAACAACAAGGAACATGCTGGGGACTCAGACATGCATCATGGGAAGAATGGGTTAATAACTCCAGGGTGCCTTCAATTATCCAAAGAGTTGTCATGATGAAAGGAGATAAGGCTCCTTCTCTATGGCTTCAAAAAGTAGACCTGGGAAAGGAGACCCATTTCAGTCAATATAAGGAAGCATCCTCAGCTGTCTGAGCTGTCTCAGGGAATGAGTTCCCCATCATTACATGTATTCAAAGGAACAAATGTACAATGTAGTGAATATAAAATTCAGTAATCAATGACAAGATTACCATTGGCTCAGTGACATGGGTACCTTTTAGTAGGCTGGTGCAAAAGTAATTGTGGTTTGGCCCATTACTTTTAATGGCAAAAACTGCAATTACTTTTGGACCAACCTAACAGATTTCTCATCTTGCAAAGACCTCCTTAACTACACCAGGAAAATTCACAAGGGTAGACTCCTGGATGCCATGTGTGTACAGTGTGATTCTAACACAGTTTACTGAACCAGAACTCGCTCCTGTCTGAGACTGGTTCCTTCAGGGTCCTTTACCGAAGAACTTGAGAGCAGATCAGGGTAAGAATGAGAGAGAGGACAGGGTGCTCCATGTATGGTTGAAAGTGTAACATCCCTGCCCACCATGTGGGCTCTGGAGCAGGGAAGTCTGGTTTGCTAGGAAAGAAGCATACAGCAAATTTATGGAGAGAAGGAGGGGGATGGGATGAAGAAAGAGTTCATCCTGGGCTCCCAATAGCCTTGTAGTCCCTGGTTCCAACCTCTTCCTGAGGCCTGGTCTTCCATGATCACACTTCTGGGTTACTACAGAATAGTCTCAGTTTGCAGAAGCTAGCTTGAGATGGATTCTCTTCTAGTTCAAACAACCTGAAGTAATGTCATTATGGAGGAATGAGACTCAAGTCTTGACAATCTGACCAGTGTCCTCAGTCTCTTTCAGCCTTGGGAATCTAAGATTTTATTAGCCATCTAGAGGAGATGCCACGCCCCCTCGTGAAGCAGTGTCTAGGGAGCCTGGGACTGCACATCCACAGCACAGACCACAGGCATGGCATGTCAACTTGCAAATATCACACTTGCTTCTCTCCTCTTTAGGAAGATAACGTGAATCTATCATGCCATGCTGTTGTGAAGAATAATGAATAGCACCATTAACAAATGACAAGTGCTACATTTCTTATTATTATCTATCATGTAGACATCCCTTTATTTCTGTAGCATCCAGAAGGTATTGAATGCGAATGTACTGAAAGCACTTTTGCAGTCTCCTATAAAGAAAAACATCTGTGAGCATGGAACAGTAGAGCTGCCGGGTTCTTCCAAGTCCTACACTGAAGTACCCCAAGCAGGACCTAAGAGGCCCTTCTCAGTCATGCTGATTCACTGGAAAGCAATTAAATCTAGGTGATCCACATTCATTTTAGTGCAATAAGATCTACCCTAGCTCCAAGCTTTGACCTGGCACCATTTGGAGGCCATAACTGTTTATGTGATCAGAGAACCGCAGGAAACAGACATGGCCAATATGTGGCCAGAGGCTCTTGATCACTCTTTTTGCTCCAGCAATAGGATAGCCTTGGGCCTCCTTTGATCCAGTTTATTGCACATGCCAGACTTCACCACTCACCAAGTCTCTCTCGGTTTCTTTTCTTCTCTCCCTATTTTCCACATGGAGAAAGGAAATGCATTATTAAGTAATTTTCCCAAAGAACATGAGGCTGGTCTTGAAATTGGAAGGTCTAGGCTGTTTCTGGCCCATACAGACACTCACTGTAAGGGGAATGCCAGATGAGGGGCAGGGAATAGAGTAGGAGAAACTGAGCTCTGGACCCATTGCTGCCCCAATGATACTGGGATCCACGCAGGTCATCTCCCTTTCCTGGCCACGTAGCTCCTCTATCCAATGAACAGATTTGAACAGGAGCCAGGTTACAGCCACAAGACAGGAATATCACGGTTAAATCAGGAAGAGGCTAGGAGTTGACACCCAAGAATAACCACAGAAATGTCAAGTCTGGAGTGGAGTCAATAAACATTTTCTAGCCGAGCACTAAGAGTGCCAATGATGAGCTGAGTTAAAGAGGTACCAGAAACAGAGTTGAGTCGTGAAGCAACAGTGGGAGTGGAAAAAGTAAAAAAGGTGGCAACAATCCAGAGGAGACAATGCAGAGGTGAATTAATCTTGATAGAGATTGTTGTTGGATATCTCAACATCACTAACACAAAGACAACATGCGGTAACCAGCAGGATCCCACCCAGCTCTCATAGTCTACAAATTTCAACCTTGCTCCTGTTGTGCTAGCAAATGTGCATCAGCCCTGACAAAGGAGCAATTGCAAGCTAAGTATCTGACATAGTGTGAGTTCTGTATTAAGCCACTTCTTTCCCACTTAGTAATAATTGGACACAGAAGAAATCATCCCAGAAAGGGGCATATGCTAGTCTCCATCTCCATTTAATAAAAACGATCCGTCTTGACTTTCTACTTTTTACTTGCCCTTAAGATGTTCTTGGGTCCAAAAAAAAAAAAAAAAAAAAAGTCACTTCCTACTCATCAGGACACCAGTTCACTGAAAAAGGATATACTGTATTCAACAAATCAATTCCTTTCCCTAGAAAAAGTTCTAAAGTATCGATTTGGCATATGACAAGAAAAGTCTCTCTACCTTTTTGTGCCTAGTTTTCTCATTTGTAAAATCTGAGAAATGGTACCTGTATTAGTTTTCCATCACTACTACAGCAAATCACCCCAAACTTGGTAGCTTAAAGCAAGACAAATTTATCATCCTACCTAGATTAGAAGTCCAATATGGGGCTCCCTGAGCTAAAATCAAGGTGTCAGCAGGGGTGCCTTCCTTCTAGAGGCTCTTGGGAGAGATTCTGTTTCCTTCTCTTTTCCAGCTTCTAGGTTTGACCACATTCCTTGGCTCACGGCCTTTTCCCCTCATCTCCATCTTCAAAGCCAGAAACAATGGTGTAAAGCTGGTTGCTTCTCCAGGAGCTTGGACATGCCCATCCCTCTCCATGCCTGAAAATTATGTCACCAGAATCTGCACTCAACACTAAACTTTGCACTCGGCACCAATGCCCACTTCTGCACTCCGCACCAGAATCTGCACTCAACACTAAACTCTGCACTCGGCACCTAGCCAGCTGTTGGAAAACCCGCCAAAATTTAAAAGAAGCCCTGCCAAAACCTGCCCAATAGCACAGCCCACTCACTGGAAATCCCGCCTACCTACCAATAGCAGCTCACCCCATCCAAGTCCTGTTTCTCCACAGCCAATTAGGACGCCTTCCCTCCCTGTAAAACCCCAGGCTGGAGAGGAGTCAGGCACGACTTCCCTGGCCCCTTTCCCCGGGACCACAGAACCTCGTCTGGGAGTTAAATAAATTGGCATTTAATTTTCTTGTGCTGGCCTCAGTTTCCTCATTTCAAACTCGGCAATAAACCTTACAACAGAATAACCCTTACAAATGGGTCAAGTCATTCTAACATGAAATCACTCACTCCCTCTTCTGCCTCCTTCTTCCACTTTTAAGGACTGTTGTGATTACACCAGACTCACCTGGGTAGTCCAGGATACTCTTCTTATATTGAGGTCAGCTAACTAGCAACTTAATTCCACCTGCAACCTTAATGTCCTCTTGTCATGTAACCTAACATATTCAGTTTCTGGGACTTAGAATGTGCACAACTTTAGGAGGACATTATTCTACCTATTACAGTAAATATCTTCTCACAGTGGTAAAATTTTACTCTACTAACTAAGCATATGGCCCTGGTTAAGTCTCTCATCATTTCAGTTTCCTCCTATGAAGTTGAGGGCTTTAATCTAAGGCAGTCTTTAAGATGTATAACTTTAAGAGGATAAAACAGACTCATTAAAAGATTAGCTTCTGTCTTGTGCATTACAGTCTTCAAAGCACTTGTCCATGCCTTGTCTTATTTGATGCCTGCACCAATCCTGAGAAATATATAGGAAAGATGCTGCCATTATCTTCACTTTCTAGAAGTGTATTCTGGCAATAAGAAGGTAAAATCATGTGTTCAAAATCACACAATTAAAATATGACAGTCCTGGTTTAGTATTGGAGTCTTCTGATAATACATGCCCTACATGAAAACCTTTTCTGAATAGCTTGGAAATGTACATATGGGGAAGATGGTAACCACCAACACACTACTACTAGCGCTACCACCACCATCCAGGCACATCACAACTCATCCAAGTGAAGAGGCACAGCAATGGCAGATGATGATCCCTGAAGAGAACTCAGGAATCTAGGTTCCCATCTAACTTTGGATTCTCATCCTCTAATTGTGTTCCATTAAAAGTGCCCTCCTTCAACCGTATTCCTCCTTCCTTGCTTTGAGACTGCATGTCATCAGCATAGTCCTCATTCTAACGAAAGGAAAAATAGTCATGATCCTCTAGCAAGGAAGAGGGTCTCTGTACAGTGGCAGGTGGTCTCCAGGCACTCCTGCTTGTGTGAGATAGGATAACTAGATATAGTGATGAAAGCTTCTTCCCATCATCCTAAGTTCAATAGAAGGGGAAATATAAATGGTGAAGACATTTTCTAGGAAACGAGGAAGGAGAAAAGAGCTAAAGAAGATTACCTGAAAGTCTTTGAGATGCAGGGGACATTTGTTATCTTTTGGCTCCTGGCATCTTGCTATATCTCAATGCCTTTTGGGGAATAATCCCCTCTCCTCACTCTCAGACCATGTGCTTGCTCCATCCTCCACTCTCCACTCCAAGGTCAGAGAATTAATTCTTTCCACAAGTATTTATCGAGCACCTAGTTGTGCACTAGACACGGGAGATATGAAGGCAAGGCAGACAAGGCCCCTGCAGTCATGGAGCTACCAAATAAACAAACGGGCAAAAAATTAAAAAAAAAATTGAATGAAATACTTTTGAGAGTGTTATGGCCTGTAAGAAAATAAAATAGGGTTTTCGCTACAGAGAAAGACCAGGGATATTATTATCTAGACTTTTCAGTTATGTTCACTAATTCTTCTCTTCTTTAAGCCTGTTTGGGTCAGACTTCCTGTTGTTCACACCCAACAGGCTTCCTGTATTGGCTTCCTAACACAGGTGGCCTTTGCTCCACTGATGCTGAAGTTCCCTGTCCTGTTTGTAGAGCAAGACTGTACTGTCTGGCCAAGACTTTTTTGTCATGGGAAATGGACAGATGGGAGAGAACCCAGAACTGGCACTCAGAACCTCAGCTTCTAGTTCAAGCTCAGCACTAACTAGCTGAGTACTTTCTACCCAGGCTGGAGCATTTACTAACTGCTGAAATGGGGACATTTCCCCAGTTAATCTCCATGATCTGTTCCACCTCTACCATTTTGTGCCGTATCCTCTATGTGATCAGAGCTTCTCAGACTTACATTATAATTGGGAACTGTAATCACAAGCTGGCCTCAATCACATTCTTCGTCTCTATTAAAAAGCTGCAAAACAAGCATTTAACAGTTGATCCAAATCCATACATATTATCAGGGGAGATCCAAACTGCATACTCAGCAAACGCACTGCATTCTGCAAACAAACACTCTAGTGCTAATAAATGTTAGTGATTCAAGATGATGCTGACTTTACCTGCAAAACTCACTGTAGGCTCTAAGGAGTTCTACCTGTATTCTTCATGGCTTATTAGGGAGGAAAGCCTTTGGGCAATTTCGTTTGGTTGGAATAGAAGCATTTATATACTTTTCTGTAGGTGGAGGACAAGGGGATGTGCATCGTCTTCTGACTATCTCAGTGGCTATGTCAGAATCCTATTAATATAATAATCCCTTTAAATCACCCTGCCATGAATGTACCTATGCAACAATCTTGCATGATCTGCACATGTATCCCAGAATCTAAAGTACAATTAAAAAAATAGATTCATGTGGTTCAAAATAAAAAAGGCATACAATGAAACATTTCCCTTCTATCCTTGCTTATCCCCAGTTCACGACACAACCCTTAAGGGAACTCATTGTTAGTTTGTTGTATTATCTTTCCAGAATTTCTTATGTATAAAGATGTAAGTATAAATGTAGTTGACCCTTGAGCAATGTGGAAGTTAGGGGCATCAACCCCCTTCCCAGTTGAAAATCTGCACGTAACTTTTGACTTCCCCAGAATTTAACTACTGATAGCCTATTGTTCACCAGAAGCCTTATCAATAACATAAACAGTGCTTAACACATATTTTGTAATCAAATATGTTTTATATGTTATATGTATTATATACTGTATTCTTACAATTAGTAAGCTAGAGAAGAGAAAACGCTACTTAGAAAATCATAAGGAAGATAAAATATATTTACTATTCGGTAAGTGGAAGAGCATTATCATCGAGTTCTTCATCCTGATCATCACATAAAGTAGGCTAAGGAGGAGGAGGAGGAAGAGGAGGGGTTGGTCTTACTGTCTCAGGGGTGGCAGAAGCAGAAGAAAATCTGTATGTAAGTGAATCTGCATAGTTCAAACCCATATTGTTCAAGGGTCAGATGATGTTCAAGGTTCAAAGATGTTAAGTACATCTTTTAGCAAATTTAGGGCAATTCACATTTCTTTTTCTGTGCATTGCCTGTTTATATCCTTTGCATATTGTTTTCTATTAGATTGAAATTCATTTTTTATTGACTCTTTGGAACTCTTCTTTTAAGTTGATTAGGCCTTTGTCATGTGTCTTTTCAGTTTACTTAGGTAGATTCTTTTTGCTACTTAGATGATTTTTTCCTCCAATTTTTATCTAGTCAGATATATCAGATTTTTATTTTATGGTTTTAAGGTTTAAGTCTTAGTTAGAGAGGCAACCTGTGTGTTTTCTTCTTGTACTTTTATAGTCTTGCTTTTACCTTTACATTTCATTTTCACTTTTCTATATTGGTGTATACATGGTGTGAAGTATGGATCCAATTTTATTTTCCCCCACAGGGCTATCAGATATCCCAGTTGAACGTATTTAATCTTTTCCCCATGACTTAAGATGCTACCTTTATCAAATACTAAATGATCATATGCATCTGGGTCTATTTCTGGACTAACCACTTGGTTCCTTTGAACTATGTGTGCATGTCTCTGTAGCACACAGTCTCAATAAATGACACACTATAATAAATTTAATATCTAGTAGGGCCAGTCCCCCTATATGGGATTTTTTCAGAATTTTTCTCACTATTTTTATTTACCTTTTTATTTGACTTTTAAAACAAACTCAACTAGTTTTATAAAATGATCTACTGCTACTTTTAGATTGTATTTGATTTATAAATTAAATAGAACTATGTCTGTTGTCTTTCTATCCATGAGCAATCTTTACATTTGCTTCAGGATTCTTTTATATCCTTCAGTAGTGTTTTCAAGTTTTTATATAGATCCTGGATATTTTTTGTTCAAATTCATTATTAGCTCTTTTACATTTCTTGTTGTTATTGTAAGTGGTGGCTCTTCCTCTGACAATATATGGTAAGTAGTCACTTAACATCATTGATAGGTTCTTGGAAACTGACTTTAAGCAAAATGATGTGCAGTAGGTCCTTGAATAACATTTCCTTCAACGTATTTTTGTTATAACTTTGATGAGAAAAAAACCCGGTTTTGTTAAATGTCATTTTGCTTAAAGTTGCAGTTTCTAAGAACCTAGCCTCAATGTTGAGGACTTACTATATTCTGGTTGGTGTTTGTAAATATGAAGGGTATTAATTTCTATTTTCTTATTATTGCACATTGTTAGTTTATGGAATTATTTTATTATTTGAAACAGTTTTTTAGTGAATTATCTTTTGTTTCCAACCACACAACCAGAGCATCTTCATAGAGCAACCATTGCCTCCTCCCCATCTCTCTTTTTTATTTTTGCTTATCTAATTACATTGGTAGTATCACCAGTGCAATCATAAATAACAGTACTAATAGCATAGATCCTTGTTCTTTAATGAGAATTACTTTAGTGTTTCCTCAATAAGCATAATACTGGCTTATAGCCTGAGATGCTTCTAGACTTATAGTAGTTACATTCTGATAAACTCATTGTAAGTTGAAAATACTGTAAGTCAAAAATGCGTTTAATACACCTAACTTACTGAACATCATAACTTAGCCAGGCCTACCTTAAGTATGCTCAGAACACTTACATTAGCCTATGATTAGGCAAAATCATCTAATACAAAGCCTATTTTATAATGGAGTATTAAATATCTCTGATAATTTATTCATTACTATACTGAAAGTGAAACACAGAGTGGTTGCATGGGTACTTGAAGTATGGTTTCTATTGATTGCATATTTTTTTTACCATAATAAAGTCAAAAGATTGTGGCAAAGTATCATGAGTTAGGGACCACCAGTATAACCTTAGCCAGTCAAGTTTTCTTGGGTGC